TCCCAACTCCCTGTGTGTAGACCTGCATGTTCACCAGTTAGGTTGTAAGCTTCAGGCGTTCAGTTTTATGAGGAACACCGAAGTCTCCCCACCCTAGGGCGTTCGAGGTCGTTCTCACTCCCTCCGTGTTTTCAATGGAACATAGGGCTTCACCCTTGAGATTTGATGTCTTAGAAGCACTGAAGTCCCCAACTCAAGCTTCTCTTTTCAGTGGGCTAACTACTGCTGGCTAAACGAGGTTTAGTAGTGTGTCGGCTCGGAATCGAAGTGTGGATCACGTTCATCGTTGGCGAGTATTCTACTACTGAAATACCAACGCACTAGTGCAAGTTTCGATAGTGTCCACTTGGAATATGATAATTCTAGTCATAGTGCAGGAATTCTAATGTTTGTGTGTGTGTAAACAGTGCCATCGCCAGGCATCTCCTCGACACGGGTCATGAGGTGGAAATCGAGAAATCCTTTAAAATTATCAATAGACAAAGGAGCTCCATTCTCCTCAAGTTTGCCGAAGCAATTTCTATCAAACGCTTCAAACCAGATTTATGTGTTCAGAAAGAAGCAGTCATTAGTCTTTCCTTGCCTTGGTAACTGGACGTCTTTATTCTCTACTCTGATTACGTAATCTTTGCCTTTAACCTCACCCCTCTTTTTTATAATCTGTAATATTGCTTGTCTCTTGTTTCTATGACGTGATTTGAATTCATTACATCGTTACCAAATTAATTAGTTACTCATCATATTACTCACCTCTCGTCTTTATTACGTAACTCCTTTACCATTGTATGCATACATTTATTTTGACTTGAACTGCCTGTGTAAAAACCAAATAAGCGTAATTTTCTGAGCACTGTTCACTAATTGTGGAACTTTCTGTCAACTGACAACATGTAAAATTTGCAAGTATGTTAAAACTTTTCTGTACGTAAACCTCACAATTTATTTAGGCTGTAAGCAGCTGATGAGAAGCCAACGAAATAATTGATGGTACCATATTATTCTGCACAAACCACTGTTGTTCTCGCTTTGTTTAAATATATCAAGGGGAATAAATGCATGATGTTTGTGTATATTTTGTTCATTTCCTTATACAAAATAAACATCATCTGTTCACCTAAGTATCATTCAGTAGCTTTGTCTGACAGGAGGTATCTACTACTACTCAGATTATAAAAAATATTTTGGGTGTGTGGTGTGTGACTGTGTATGGTAGTTTTGGAGGGTCATATTGCCATCGGCGTAATAGCTAATTACTGAAAGTGACGTAATAGTCTAGGATGCAGATGGTTTCGAACTAGAGTCTCTCAGTTTAGTGCAGTACAGTGGTCTGTAGCAGCTGACCTATGAGACGCAGCTCCTACTTCTTGTTACAGTAACTGCATTAGATTTTTTGGAAATGGCACAAAAATATCTACTTTTAAAAGCTCATTAACAATAATAGTAAAGCTTTATTTCAAACAGTATGTTAACCGCAGTGCAGAAATCCTCAGAGTATCTGATTACGAAGTATTTCTTCTCCATACATGATCTACACGTAAAATAATCAATAACTCTAAACTATTGCGACAGGTTAATGACCTTGAGAAACCAATCAGATAGAACCGTAGTGCATAGGCGGAAATATAAACGCAGTGAATGAATCACTTTGCAAACTTCATCAATAGGTAGTATTTGAGCACTGTCGGGAAAATAGACCTGTAGAAAGCTTGTAGATAAGGAAGAGTAATGTCTTTACAAAGGTGTACATCCACTGTTCATAGATATATGTACAGGTATCTTGGCTGTCGTTACAGATAATCTGTCCGAAAAGATGTGTCGTTCCATTTTTTGGGTTCACTGGTCACGAAACAGCGTGATATACAGTTACTTGAAATAATAGAGAATACTTGTAGCTCAGGTGGATGATTTGCAATTAAAGTTGTGTTCTCTGAGCTGGTTGGCTTAAGGGTGGAGCTTTCTTCGTTACCTGGATGAATTTATGCACAGAAATACGTCTGGACTATCACTGAAGACTCCAATAAGGGGTTAGGGTTATTTGTGTGTGGGGGGGGGTCGGGAAATGCACGAAAAAGTTACGCCGTATAACTACTTTTTATCACTTGTTTTGATGTCTCTAGGATTTTTTAAAATTATGCTCATGGCAATAATAAACAATAGACACCAGAGTCAAATGATCTTGACTTGTGCAATCAGATAGCTCAGAATTACAAATGGTCATAATCCTCGTTGAAAATGTCTCCTAGATTTGGTTTTTGAATTCTCTGTGGAAAATGTGTTCATAGGGAGGAATAAAACATGCATATGTGGAGGGATAATGACTTTGCAAAAGTATCGCCAGGCTATTGATGCTTATACATTCAGATGCAACCATTTTATATGAGGAAGTCTGTATAAGTTGGTAAGTCCTACATAAGTGGTGATTTTTTCAGACACTTTCTTCTCGAAATCAAAGTTCTCCCTTAGTAATATATTGCGTATATGAAACCAGTATCTGCTACAGCCGGAGATATAGAGAATACATCGGTTTGATATGTCTATAACTAATTCTATGAGAATCTGGGACCGGTTGTAGCAGCCTAATAGAGATATATACCCTATATGATTTATTTTTATTACATATATGTCGTAGATAAGCTTCTATGTAAATTAAGTACCACTTTTCATCTAGATGAATCTGATTGGCTGTCTCAAGGTCGTCTATTCTTTGCCATGCTCATTTACTACGGACTCATCTGATTGGTTGATCAAGGTCGTTACATCCGTTTATCGGATAGTTTCTTTTTGGGTCGCTATATTTTAGAATTACTATATAATCACCTGCAGTATATCGTGTGATGCAGTGTCGTTCCACATGAACAAAGATCCAATTCACTACGATGCTTTTCGTTCATTTCCTTCAGGAACTGTACAACACTTTGTTGGAAGCTAGCTAATTAGGAATGTGCCCGAGTTCCTGTAGTAACCAGTAGATATGATTGAATGATTAAATCTGAATAAGGCAAGAACGACAAATATATTAGGATAATCTGAGCTCATGTTTTTTATTTTTATTATTTCGTGGATTCTTCTCAACTGGTTACAATTTGAACAATACGAAAACTATAAATTGAATTAAAGATCTGAACACACTTTTTTACAGTGATGATGAGTAATTGATTGGAACTAAGAGTAACATTGGTCAGGAATGATGTAATAAGTTGTTAAATAATTAAGAGTGAAAAGGATCGACCACTTAAAGATGAATTGCATGACTAAGCTTGGAAACTAAAGGACAAAGTTCAATGGATGTTTTGTAAGGTAGAAACAAAGTTCGACTAGAAAGAGTATAAAAAGTAATGGGTTACGTAACCACAGAAAAACACGCTTAGGAAACATGACCAGTTCGACTAATTTGTATCACAGTGTTTCTGTTTAAATCACCGTTTATTTTCAATAATACTGGGGTGGAATTTTTTTTGGCCGTAGTCACCTTTGAGTCGACTACTTGCCTTACCTCATACTAAGAGAGTCTAACCCTTATAATCTAATAGTGATTACGTCAATCACGTCATAGCACATAATTTATTATTTTTTTGTTTAAATTCCGGGTTGTTTTTCTTCCGACTTAGTGTCAACAACTTTCCATTTTTCAATAATACACTCCTAATTTTGTCAACAATTTACTCAAGAGGTGGTTTATTATTTTGTCCAGAATAGTCTGAAATAAGTACGTCACGTCTTGAATGTTGGTGTAACGTCAGGAGACGAGAGAATTTAGCAGCGAAATTTATTGTGGAGAAAGCACATCGTACTTATACATTTTTAGCCACATCAAAATTCGGCTAGGTCAACGGACAGTGGATTGTCCCTAGATAACTTTATGACCAATATTATTATTATTTGATCCACAAATTCACCATCACTGGTTAAGATTTTCTATGTATAAATCTAGGCAAATTAGAGTAAAGCCTGAAGAGGTTCTAAATGAAAACAACAGCACTATTGTTCGCTTATATGTGTTGTTCTAATATTATTAATAATGGGAGTATTTCAAGGTATATCTAATAAACAAATTAATATGAAGTTTGAACAAAGCAACAACTACAGTTTTAGCAGAATAAAATGGTACCATTTTTTATTTCGTTGCCTTCTTGTCAGCTGCTTACAGGGCAGCGATGATCAACAGAAGGCTGAGTACATCACTAGCCATAGCCTATCCTGCAGCTAAGCTTGTTCCCGTCTTTTGAACAACTTGCTGTCTGGTGCAATCAAAAGTCGATAGATATCCTTCTCATGTGAACTCCAACTGTATATAAAAATTTACATGTATCTTCGGGAACAGAAAGAAGAGCATATGTACAATTTCCTGAACATGTACCCAAAAGTTTACGTTTAAAGGGAACAAATACTTTAAACAGTGCCATCGCCAGGCATCTTCTTGACACGGGTCATGAAATGGACGTCGAAAAGTCGTTCAAAATTATCAATAAGCAAAAGAGGTCAATTCTCCTCAAGTTTGCTGAAGCTAATTCCATCAAGCGCCTAAAACCTGATTTGTGCGTTCAGAAAGAAGCGGTTATCATTATTTCTTTGCCCTGGTAACTGGATATTTTTCATCCGAATGCGAGATACTGAAAAGTTTTCATTGTGGATGATTATTATTGTTCGGAATTTTGTTTAATATTGCATATATATATGTATATATTATTAGTGTATGCCTATACTGATTGATTGATTTTTGTTTAAAATGAACTCTGTGGAAGTATGTTAGAATTGTTTATGTAGATACATTTAATAATGAGTTTGGCCTGTAAGCAGCTGACGGGAAGGCGACGAAATAAAAGATGGTACCATTTTATTCTGCTAAAACTGTAGTTGTTACTTTGTTCAAATTCATCAAGGGGAATAAATGTAATATGGAATTGCGTACTACCACAATGCCCAAAGAGTTTAATAAATCAAAAAAATGAAACAAAACCTTCGTTTTTTTTTAAAAAAACTGAAAAAAATTCAGTATCTACCTGAGTAAATGTCAATCCAGTCTGCATAGCTATCGCATACTTTTCAGTTGAATTAGGATATTGATTTTTCCGGTAAAATTCTTTCAACTGACAACGTACATTTCGTTTAAAACAATAAACAATCTCTTCACCATCCCATATTGTCTGTGGCAAGGGATATTTTCTACGTATCCGATATTTATCAACAGCAGTCAGCGGTTTATCTCGAGACAGCTGGACTTCAGCATAATGCGTCTCATACCATAACTGTTGAAGTATTGACTGATTCCCCACTGTGAAATGATTCGATTCTAATAGATGATAAACCAGACTGAAATTTTTCTCTTCATAAGATAACATAGCCAATGCTTTGATAATTGATTCACGCGATTCGAATAATTGAGACAGTGTAATATTTTCAGAGAGTTTTATACTACTGAAATTATTATAAGTAGTAGTAGTAGTGTTATTGTCAGTGTTATTCTGGTCATAATAATAATAATAATAACGATGATAATATGATGAGAAGTGTTCTTCTTCATAAGTTAACCAAAATTTTGGTATTTGATTGAAAAGATGACGTAAGGATGTCCACTGTTTCGTGCTGATCAATACTTCACACATACATCCTACCTAAAAATGTAGACAAAAAATATATGTGTAAAACTTGGGCACTGTGGTAGTAAGTAATTCTATATTAGTTTGTTTATTAGATGTATCACACAGTGAAACAGTATTATTTACTAGATGACTTTTCGAACAAAATTTATTATTTAATTGGTGGATGGTGACTACCAGTGGAATCCAGGATAATACGCATTTCGTCCTATTTGGGACTCGTCAGCTGGATGTACCTGCATTTCTCAGTGAGTGATGATGTTACCACCGAGGCTTTGGCGTTTGAAACCATGGGCACTGGGTTCGAGCCTCGGTGGGAACATCATCACTCACTGAGAAATGCAGGTACATCCAGTTGACGAGTCCCAAATAGGATGAAGTGCGCATCCTGGATTCCACTGCTAGTCACCATCCACCAATTAAATACTAAATAAATGCACAGACATCGTCGAAGCATCTGCTCAAGAAGGCGACATGTCAACCTGAGACCAAGCATTTCGGTCCAATCAATCGACGGGAAAATCCAAAATTCAATTCAATGAAAATTTATTATTGTTCATAATCATATCAATTGTAATCACACGACTTTGAAACTTAAGTTTTATAGTTTACTTTGTTTTCTCCTATTTGTCGTCATAGGGGTAGTAGAATTTTCCAGATATCCGTTTGGGACAGGTGTTGAATCATTCCTATTACATGTATTTGTAGTTGATTCGATAAACAAAGCTTCTGTTATCAATCTCTCCCTTCACCCCATTGTTACATTAGATTTTAAAACTGTCATGTTATCCCATTCTATGTCATGACAGTGTTGTGTGTAACTGCATGTAGTGCTATAACTGAACTATTCTCTAGATTTCTTATCTTATTCAAGTCAACTAATCTAGAGTTTGCTGTTCGGTTTTTATGCTCGGCTAGTCTGAGTGCCCCTGTTCTACTAGTTTGATCTATGTATTTGACCTGACAATCATTGCAGGCAGGGTATTAGATAAACTAAATTGCTTCGTTTTAGAGGCTCTACAGGATCCTTTAACCGACCAAACTTGTTTCTAAATGAGTTTGTGGGTTTGAATGCCATTTTTATTCCTTCATTGTTAAGAATTCTGCGTAAGGCTTCCGAGGTTCCTTCCTTGTATGGAATTACTACTGATGATTTAGATTCCTTATTGTTGGTGTCGTCATCAATATTATTATTATTATCACTGTTATTATAATCATTATTATTGTTGTTATCACTATCGCTATTTATTTATTTTTACATTTCCTTACATATTTCCTGACTAATTTATCCGGGTAATTATTAAGTTTCAAGGCTTCTTTTATGTGTATCAGTTCCTGTTTTAGATTTTCTTTGGTACTACTTAGTTTTTGTGCTCTGTCATTTAAACATTTCACCAATCCTATTCTTACTCAATTAGAAACAAGTTTGGTCGGTTAAAGGATCCTGTAGAGCCTCTAAAACGAAGCAATTTAGTTTATCTAATACCCTGCCTGCAATGATTGTCAGGTCAAATACATAGATCAAACTAGTAGAACAGGGGCACTCAGACTAGCCGAGCATAAAAACCGAACAGCAAACTCTAGATTAGTTGACTTGAATAAGATAAGAAATCTAGAGAATAGTTCAGTTATAGCACTACATGCAGTTACACACAACACTGTCATGACATAGAATGGGATAACATGACAGTTTTAAAATCTAATGTAACAATGGGGTGAAGGGAGAGATTGATAACAGAAGCTTTGTTTATCGAATCAACTACAAATACATGTAATAGGAATGATTCAACACCTGTCCCAAACGGATATCTGGAAAATTCTACTACCCCTATGACGACAAATAGGAGAAAACAAAGTAAACTATAAAACTTAAGTTTCAAAGTCGTGTGATTACAATTGATATGATTATGAACAATGATAAATTTTGTTCGAAGCTTCGTCGTCCAGTATATAATAATACTGTTTCATCACTGTGTGATATATATAACAAACAAAACTAATATAGACAGGAAAGCATTTAGATTTTAAGGATCTGAATGTACAGTGATGATGATGATGACGGGCGGAGGGTGGCATACACAAGATCAGTATGAAGAAAGCTTGTAGACAATCGTCGGGGGGGGGGGATAGCTGAAAAAAGTGATACGCATAAAATTGATTTCCATGGAGATGTTTCACTGAAGATTTATATATAGCGATAAAATCAGGATCGTTGTGTGGTCTAAACACACACACACACACAAGAATTGATATTTGCATCCTACTGTGTAACTGTCCAAAATTTCCTGGAGATACTCATAGTCATAAAAGGCTCGAAAGACGGTAAAAAACAAGACGCTTATTCGTTGCTGAAATCTGTGGTTTGTAGCTCAGGTGGATGATTTTGATGTAGTTGTGTTCACTGTGTTCTAAGCACACAGTGCGACTGCTGAGTATTTTTTCTAAATTACTCATTTTCTTGGGTGGGATCAATCATTCTAACCTTAGCTAAATTCTTATGTTCTGAAAGGCAATCTGACTACTCCTGATCTACTAGTTTAACTTATGCAGTTGACCTCAATCACAGTCATTGCAAGGTATTTTGTAAATTATATTATTTTGTCTAATTGGGTCAACCGACAGGGTCTTTTAACTTAACCTACAGAGCTTGTCCTACCTGAGTGAGTTTGTGAGATTAAATGCCACTCTAATTGCTGCTTTATTAAGAATCCTACGTAGGGTGGTCTCAGATGTCCCCTCCTTATATGGTATAACTGTAGATGCCTTATATTCTTTCTTATTTATGTTATCATTACTAGTTTCACAATTATTTTTATTTTGCTTTTGGCCTTTTCTGATCTTCCTAATGAATTTTATAGGATAGTTATTTAACACCAACCAGCCATTCTTCTATCTGTTTTATTTCATCATTAAGGTCTTTTCTTGTACTGCTTAGTGCTACAGCTGGGTTTGTTAGACACTTAACTAAGCCAGCCTTTACAGACAGTTAACGGATGAGATGAATTAAAGTCTAAATATCTATTAGCAGAACGCGATGGCTTTTTATAAACACTAGTGTGCAGTCTACCTTCTTCTATTCGTTTTATTTTACAATCTAACACCACAGCTAATTCTCCTGGTTCATTTTCCGATTCAGATGTGAATTTTATTCCCTCTACTAGTGAGTTTATATGTGTCAAGAAGTTAGAGATATGTTCTGTTTTTAACACTGAAAGTGTCATCCACATATCTCCACCATATTATCTTTGGAGTAGGATTAAATGTATTTCTCTCTTTTAGAACCAACCACTTGCGAGGGCATAAGCAGCTCTATATTAGACCACCTAGTCCACACCAGCAGCAAAGCCAGCGAGCATTGAAGCATCCTTCTCCTTCATCTATCGGGTACCAAATAAATTGCTAAAAACATCCAGGTACCTCATACTCCAAACAACAGAGGCTATCGCGATTCGTGTGAAACAACCGGTGTCCTCTATGTAGAAGAAACAGGTCCAGCCAGCCAGCCAATATTACTGCCCTTGCCAACCTTCAGTGGAACCTATAAATTCATGAATTTTTGTTTTACTATCCTTCCAATTTGCCTGTCTGATATTCAGTGTACCGTGCTGTCGAACTGTAATCCGAAGAAAGGACTAGATACTTCACATTAGTTACCAGTGTCCAGTCGAAATACCCACTACAGTCCTACAGGAAGTCAATCGCGAGCCCGAATAGCTCAGTGGTAACGTCTCTGACTGCAGTACTCATTGTGTGACGCGGGTTCGAGTCTCAGAAGGGATATGAGTTCTTTCAAGGTTTCAGATACGCCTTGCTGACGAGTGTCAACTAGCACGAAACCTAGATCCAAGGCTTCCTGCCGATTGCCTCCAACTATCTATTATTATTATTATTATTGATTCGATATTATTTAAGCAACATTACTCCATAATGGATAAGATTTTATTTTGATAAATCACACAGTGTAGTACAGTTATATTAACTGATTAGTTAATATAACTGTACTACACTGTGTGATTTATCAAAATAAAATCTTATCCATTATGGAATTATACTCTACCACAGTGCCCAAGTTTTATACTTATATCAATTAAGCAACATTAGTGTTGTTAATAACACTAATACATTCACTATTATGTATACACAACTGTAGAAGCTACCTGATGAAGAGAAAGTTATCGAGAAGAATATTCAGTCTTTGTTCAGTAACCATTCTTATGAAAAAGAAAAAAAGAAATTTTAATAGGCATTTTTAATCAGTTGAAAATTCTTTCCTTTTTTATGCATATACATGAAAATGGAAACAAAAACAAAACTTCAATGGTCCATTAAATGAAAGATCAATTAGTCACAGGAAAATTGTAGTCCATTTTTCAGTTGATCAGTTACCATGGCTACCACTGTTACTACTACTACTACTACTCATGCTAATAGAGAGTAGTAATTATTAATAGTTATTATATTCTACACTATAATGCATCATAAATTTTTACTTTATTTAAACCTAATTGCATAATATTTACACGAAGAACTAGTGACAATTAGTTCAGTCTGTAATCCATTCCTTTGATTAACACAGATGTACGCACACACACACACACACACCAACATACACAAATGTGAAGAAACAAACAAGCAGATAGACACACACGCACAAGCACATATACATCAATATAAACAATCACGTTTATATCTGTCTATTCATTTCCTCACTAATGCACAGCACACACAGCACACACACACAACACATTAGTAAACATAAATGAAAAGTGTGAAATGGTGTGAATCCATTAAGGAAAGAATCTTAACACCAACAACATCAACAACAGCAACAACAACGATGACAACAACTCAAAAAGTGATACATGTCCAAACCAAGTTCACTTTTAACAGTTTGTAGAAATTTGGGCATTGGGTGGTATATGATATTCATTATAATAAAGACTTTTTTGTATTTGTTACAGGATTTCATCATGAGCTGACATTGGTTAGAGAACCATTGGAAGACC